TTTTTTTTTTTTTTTTTTTTTTTTTTTTTTTTTTTTTTTTTTGCTTGGGGCGGCAGAAATGCTGGAGCCAGCCCTGTGCCTACCCAAACACCATGATAATGCTGGCTATGCAACTGACTGATTATACAAAGTACATACACTTATCCTCTTATGTAGAGGGTAAGCACTTTAAAATTTTGGCAGAATCCAAAGAAATTACACATAAAATAATAGGAATAGGTACTTACATATTGATTATATGGAATTGCACATAGATTGTCGTGTGCTCTTGCTGCAGTCTGCCTTCTAAACTAGTGATCTGCAGAGAAATTTGGTATGTAAAATGTCATATTACTTCTGAAAACTGTTATTTTACAAATAGTCCCTTGAGAGTTCTAGCTTCTGATCGTACATAGAATCCAATGCTGCATGATGTGACGTGCTGCTATACATACACTAGATAAGGGTAACCATTATCACATCTGCCCAAACACTAGTTGCTGCTGCAACTGACACAAAGGCCTTTCATCCCTGGCAAATAAAATTAAGGCTTCTACAAGTTCCTGAGAGAGAGACTAGAAACTGCATGACCCAGAGGAAGTAAATTACTCTTGTTTGTGTAATTTATACCCTTCTGCTGTGGAGCAAAGGTAAATTGGTAACAGACGTAAGCTGAGAGAACTGGATTGTGCAATATTGACCTAAATTGTTTTTGTGACTGATAAATCTTGAATGTGCCCTCTATATATCTATTGCTGAATGCAAAAAATGGTGCCTACAGTTATGCAACTTGAGAATTAGTTTCACTGTAATCTTTTGTTTAATTTTTAATCATGTCTTTTTCAAAGCTATTACACATTCCATTTTATTCACTAGGAGACTCATAGTAGCGCCTCGACGTTTGGTTAGCAGAGCTATCAGCTTCAACCACCTCTATAATTGTTTGATGCTAGACATTAATACATGCCAGCATAAGAATCTCTCTCATTTTAGTGCTGCCCATCCTTCCAAACCAGTAGAAAAATGTTGACACCCTGAAAAAGGAAGAATGGTGGAGTGGGGAATAAAGAGGAATGGGGGGGGGGAAATAGGGGTGCACAGAGCCCCTGGCCTGGGAGAAAATGGGGTACCTTGGCATGAGAGATGGGGGACGGGTGTTGCAGAGAGTCTTTTGAAATGGAACAGGATCAATGGTGGCACAGCGGGAGCTTGGGTGGAATAGAGGGATGTAAAAAGCCCCTAGCCCATTGCTTTTGTAGGCTGAACTTACTTCACAACTAGTGTAAATTGCAGATACTTATATTCATAATTTTACATTGGATTACTTGCTCCCCTCTGTACTCCTAGGGGAATTTTGACTGCTGTTAGCATTGGAAATATTAAAGTAAAGCTACTATAAGATTAACTTGGCCTAATTTTTACCTGTATGACCTACTATCTTACTGCAAAATTGTGGGGGTTTACATACACAAGATTTAAATATAATAGAATTAGGCTTGGTCTAGACTTAAAATTTAGGTCAGTATAGCTATAGCACTTAGAGCTGTGAAAAATCCATGTACTGCAGCACCATAGTTATGCTGCACTTATCTCAGTGTAAACTGTTGATGAATATATGCTAGCCAGCATCTAAATAAATAAATAAAAATATTATATATTAAAAAATAATAGGCATTAAGCATAAATATTATAACAGTGATCTAGTCTAAACTGTCTTATACCAGAATCCTGTTAATTTATTCTAAGTACCCCATAACACTTTGCATTTGCTGAAGTAAGCATTTGGTGCAAAAAGTTAGGAAACTTGTCGAGATACGTTCATTCTCTGTCATAGTACAAAGCTAGGAAAGTGCCTTCGTGCAAAAGTACCTGGAATGGTAGTATCCAAAACAAAGATAAGGAAGGAACAGAACAAGAAGTTAGGGAACTGGAACAAATGGATGGGTTGGATTTTAGTGATGCATAGGTGGATTTGAGTTGGATTTTACGTGTAGGGAAATGTAACTTGTAAAATCATGTAAATAATGGCAGCTGAAAAGTGTAACTCGAGGAGCACACCTTCTGTATAAGGTGATTGTAACATCGCTGCCTTGGACGGCTCCTCAGAGACGGGTGTTGTATAGAATCTTTTTCCTGTACCATATTAATAAATCTCACTGAGTGGTTATTTTATATGGTCTCTTGACCATATATTTCATAATGAAATAATAAACCAAAGTGTGATTAAGCAATTGACTATACAATTTATGAACAAGACACAGCTGGATCTATGCTTGTCAACCTAACTACCATCGTTGCTCAGGGAGGTGCTGTTCCTAAAACAAAGGAAAAATTTTTCCATCAGTGTAGGCTCTCTCCACTACAGGATTATGCTAGGATATGTACAGTGAGAAAGCTGTGATACTATAGTCTCCATAATGTAGACATGGCCTTTGTAAATATATAACTAAATTAGTAACTTCATGAGAGCAAACAAGTTGAATAGGGTCACGCTCTGGCACAGTATGCTAAAGTAACTTACATGCCAGTGGGCTATATTGCCTACTTCAGATACCATTCAAGCCAAGCAGACCATATGACAAATTACCCATTTAGCATGGCAAGCAGGGCTGGCTCCAGGCACCAGCTTAACAAGCAGGTGCTTGGGGTGGCCAAGGGAGAAGGGCGGCATGTGTGGCAATTCGGGGGCGGCAGGTCCCTCACTCCCTCTAGGAGCGAAGGACCTGCCGCCGCCGATCGCAGCTTCCCCCCCCCTCAATTGCCGCCGCCAGTCACGATTGCGATCGCGGTCTTTTTTTTTTTTTTGGCTTGGGGCGGCAGAAATGCTGGAGCTGGCCCTGATGGCAAGAATATTAAAGATTATTATTGTTACTGTTTATACAACACCACACTTTGGAGTAGGGAACATAGGAACTGGGAGTGTCACCTTAATAGCTCCAAGAATTGGAACCTTGTCTGTACCAAAATCATAATCATTTTATATTATTATTTGTATTACTGTAGCACCTAGAAGCCCTAGTCATGAACCAGGACCACCTTGTATTAGGCATTGTACAAACACTGAATGAAAAGATGAGCCCTGCCCTAAAGAGCTAATAATCTGTATAGTATAGAAGATAACTTTAATTGATGCCATGTAGGCTGCCCCACCCTGTTACTTGATGATCCTGTGGAGACAGGATTTTTTAATTTAAAATGGAAGAGGAGTAGAAAGTTAGTGATGGGGGTGTATGTTTGGTTGCAGCAGCAGCATTTTGGAAAGTCAGGAGAGAGATTATCAAGACATGCATCAGATAAGGTAAGAGCAGTTCTGTTTCTCCTACTGAACCTAATAGGAGAGCTCTCCCCTCCTCACGTCTTTCATACAAAATACTGTGGGGTCCACCTGGCTGAAGAGAAGCGGATCTTCTTTTTCTCTTGTGCTCCTGGGAGTCCTGACTAGGGAGCTTTGCTGCTTTTGCTTAATATTATTCTGCATATGTGAATAGGATTTGAGTGTTTGGTAAAA